CCCCAAAACCCCAAAACCCCAAAACCCCAATTTTTCATAAAATTATTGAAAATTTTATAGTCGTATGAACGTTACTGATGCCAGACAAGATGTTAGGGAGTATTTTATCACATTTGTAAGAGCATTCCCAATTCAAGATAAAGAAAGTAATCTTCAAGATAAACTATGACCAATGTTAGACAACTTCCTGAAAAGAGTTAAAATAATCCAAGAAGAGTACTTCTCATCTAAATAGGAGAAAAATGTTGAAGAAGCTCACCAAGAAGTATAATGGAGTGCATATTTTCTAAATGTGCTATGGGCCAAACTTTATAGAAACCATTATATTCTCTTATACCTCCACTGATAAAAAAGATGAACTAGATATCTTTATAAAAAATTAGTGTTGCTTTACAACTTTCCTTTGTAAACTTGCAATATTCTCTTACACCTGTCTGCCATGAACTTGCTTTGTAAAGACTCTTTCCACTCTATTCTTACAAGGGGAAAGAAGCTTGAAGGTTATTAATAATTATAAAAGATGCAATTAGAGACCGAACATGATCAGATGCTCAGAAGCTTTAACAACATAAAATAGAAATGATAAAATACCAGAAGTATTTCTTGTTCAAACAAGAGATACAAGTAATGATTTTCTTAATTTAAAAGATAACTCTAAAGACAAAGATTTTGATAAGAACTTGCAGACAATTATTAAAGCCTTTATTTGTAGGTCCATCCATCTTTCTTGGCCATATAATTGACAAGTTCAACTCTGGTGTTAAAAACTATCTAGCTGGTGCTATGATTTTGATAATTTTATGCATAGCCTATTCCTTACAAGAAATTATTTTCCTTCTGCTCCTTGGATGCGACTGAGTAAGCCTCGGTGGTGAAGTGGGCTCTTAAAGTCACTGCAACCATTTTTGTCTATTGCTCTTAATAATTTTTCGCTATGTATTGATAGCTTTCACAACTCTATCAATCTCCTTCTTCGGAAAATATTCTTGGAGTAAACAGATCCAAAGTTTTAACCCAATGGTCTCCTCCGTCTTCAATGTTGTCTTTGAAAACTCTTCAATTAGCCTTAGTATATTTAGAGGCTTAAATGAATCATTCAGCTGAGGCAACGATATAGTTAGACTACCCAGAGTCAGAAGCAATGAATCTTTTGACTAATATATATTCATAATAATTTTATTATTATTCAAGTATATAATTTATGAAAGGGGTTTTGGGGTTTTGGGGTTTTGGGG